TTGATTTAGACTGAAGGTTAGAAACAATCAGCTGTATGTGCTTACCTGTCAGATTACTTTCACACTTCATTTTGTGATGTTCCAGGTTTTCGAGCTGTTTGTTCGTTCTAATTTTGTCAAATGCTGATTAAAAAAGAACAAATAAACCAGTCAGTCAGTGAGGTTTGTTTACACTGAAAGGATTTTTGTAGCTTTGTGTTTTCACTGTTTCTTTAGTTCTCATGTTTTCAACTGCTGATTTAAAAATGAGAGAAACAAACAAGAAAAACACTGAAAAGTTGGACACATCTTTAATTTGCTGCAACAAACTGAGCCAGTGTGCCAATCTGCAGTGTTTTACACCTTCACCGTAAATATTTTTCTCATTTGAGTTACAGAAAATCGGATTATTGATTTTTTTAAGTTAAGTAAGACGAAGGAAACCACACAAACTCACAGAGACGATAAATAACGATGAGAGCAGCTGCCAGCAGGATACAGAGAACCACCAGTGCCACTCTCTCTGTGGTGACCTTTGACCCTCTGTTTGATTTTTCATGCCGAGAGTCAGGAGCTTCACCTGATGAACATTTAGAGGAGACACAATGTGAGAGTTCAGAAAAATGTGTATTTATCAGTTACAACAGTTTAAACAGTTTGTCATGCTACAATACTTTAGTACTATTAAAGTACACTGAACTGTAGCTGAGTGTCAATACAAGAACATTAAAGATGATTAAGATGCTTTGAACAGGAAACACTTGAGTTAAAACATGTTAACATGTCACACATCCTTTTGGTCAGTTCCTGTTTTTGATCTTCACATCTTCATTTTGCTTTTAAACATTCTTTCTTCATCAATTACTTTTGACTGTTACATTTCTGATTTATGCAATAAATAAAGAAAAATAATTGATATGATTAGACAATGAATGTGGGCTCTACATATTTTTAAGTCATATACATATAATGTTGTTCTATTCCAGCACAAACATCATAACTTTAGTTAAAAGTCTGATGATGATCACTCAGATGTGACTGAGGCTCCGTCACCTTCCTGTTGTTTTACCACCACATTAATGTTCTTACCGTCTATGAAGCTCTGCGCACGACTCATCATGCTGAAACTTCAAGATCCTGACTTCAGACGTAATCCAACAGTCTCTGAATCACAAAACACAACAAAATGTTGAAATTATGTTTCCTTTATTATTTATCATAGATTCAATTCTTTATACATTTAACAGAAACTAAATGTAGCTTAGCTTTGATGCTTAATTTAATTGCTTCCTTACTCACTGTGGCTTCTGTTTTACAGCTTAAAAATCCCTGTTGGCCTGTTCCTAAAGAGGAGGGAGGAGGCTTCATCTACAGTCTGGCTCCTCCTGTCAGAATAACTGCTGTTTTTATAACTGAAGGAAGGTTTCTTTTTTTATTATTGAAATGTCTGTCCCTGTGGTACATTGTGCTGATCTCTTGCATACAAATGCAACAACAGTTTTATGAGTTGCATTGACCTCAGGAGACATGTCTGTGTAGGTTCTCAGTCACACAGGTCGTGGTAGAAGCGACTGGAGGTTTTTAAGTTTAGGAAACTTTTAATTTTTAAAAATACTCTATTTAATTTATTAATGGCTTAATTAGTTGTATTTTCTAATAAATTTGATGCTTTACCAGAAATCCCCCAACTTATATTAAAATGTTGATCAAAAACACTAAAGAAATGTGAATACTGTCAAAACAACCATTTAGGGGGTCAGTCATGACAAG